ACGTCTAATGGAGTAGCCGTGGTTGCCCTATCTGGTTTATCAGTGGCGCTGGAACGCGAACTTTTTGGCGTTGTTGAAGGAGGAGGAGCTTTTCCTGAGCCTTCGGTAGTTGCAGGAACGACACTTTCACGGGTTGGTTCTGAAACAGCTGGGGATGTTGATGTGGTACTACTGTGGACTACGGGTGGTTCGCTATTCAAAGTTGAACTAATCCTATGTCCTCTAGTGGAAGCAACAGAAGTTTCGGCTACGGGGCTAGAAGTCTCTGGTGCCGCTTCTGTCAATGACGACGATACTACAGTAATCGCCTCATTCGAAGTGAGTAATGGCTCTTCAGTAGTACTGTCAGGTCTTGGCACTCCTTCCGAAGAAACTGTCGATATAGCGGCCTTATCAGGAGGGCCAGTAGTCGGATGTTCGGTTGGGCCGACATGAAAGTGAGTGGTCGCGGTTGTCTGGAGAGGCGTTTCACCATCAGTGGAACAGTTACAATTACGGTTACCGGCGAAGACGAAGAACTTCTGAAAGTCTTCGTTACGGTACGTTCTCCTGGCGTTGTGGAGACGTTGAGGGAAGCTTTGAGAACAGTTTCTCGTGGAGTCGTCACCCTGCCACCAGAAGATGGGGATGTCGGCGATTCAGTAATGGTAGCGTTTTCCAGGAAGAGACTTTTCAGTTGCAGATGAGCTACGGAAGGGACCATTTTCGAAAGGAGTCGTGCTCTCACTCAAATGAGCTTCTATCGTGGTCTGCTCATCTTCCCCAGACCCCTCTTCTGTTGAAGAGCCAGATTTCAAAATGGCCGATTCAGTAGTTTCACGGTCGATGGAATTGGCCATTTCTTTGGAAGTCAGCTCTTCCGGAGTTGGGAAAAGCGATTGTTCCGATGTAAGCTGGGAAGTAATAACAGTTGGGAAACGGTTCATTTCCGTGACTCCTGCATCGGTTGTCGCAACTGTCGAAGAAGATAATGACGTCGTTTTAGTTACGAGGGCGTTAGTAGTTGGTTTAGTATGACTGCTAAGTATTATGGTGTTAGACGTCGAATCGGACGCCAGAGTGAATTCTGGAGTTGTTCCAAAAGATAGCGTGGGAGTTTGCGCAGTGGTGGATTCCCTCTGCAGAACTCTTGACGAGAGCAGCTCCTCGTCAGGCGCGTTGGTGACTCGGTTGTGTTCAGTTGGTGCCCAAGAGTCAGAAATGTTCCTGGTGAACTTTTCAAAAAGATGATCATCGAACTTGTGACTTCTCTTGAATTACTCGAAGGCGAAGCTGTGGCTGATAGCTCGTCGGCAGTGGAGTGAATTCCATGTGGTTGATTAGTAAAGACAGTTGTTGTTGTTTGGTTTAGCACCATCACTCGTAAGGTTAGAGTTGGTTATGAAAGACGTTCGAGTTGTCGGTATACCTGATACAGTGCTGACTGTACTGCTTTCAGTTTCAGTCGGTTTAGTGCTTGATTCGTGAATGTGAGATGTAGAATGGATGGTGGTGCTTGGAGGAATCGAAGTGCTGATAGTGGTGTGATTTCGATCATGATCGATGGTGAGTGAGGGCGTGGAAGCGTAAGGCGTTATGGCTCGACGGTAGAGCTCTGAAATCCTACACTAAAGACACGTGCAGTGTATGGCTTACCAGGGCCTTTTGACGACGTCCTCAATGTGGTCGTCTTCTGGTGTGTGTCACCAGGTATCAGTTCAACAACCTCGTTCTCGTCGATCTCCCTGATGACTCCCGTAAGCGCCGTCGGTTGTTGACGTGGTGACCACGGTGCTGCTGGTGGTGGAGGTAAACGTAACATTTGTGCTGATGACTTCTGAATAGTGCTCGTGCAAAAATGTTTCCTGGTCTTCTGAAAGCCTGTCCTACTTACCTTTACAGTTTTGGATACCGTCTCCTTCATATCCACGGCGGCACTTGCAAACATACCGTCCGCCATGCAATCAGCATTCGTGTGGCAGAGTCTTGTGTCCAAATGACAATTTGGCCCTGGAACACGAAGAAGGCTATTTTTGTGGGACTGGCGCACCTGAAACGGTGCAGATTGGGTGTTGGACCACACATCCAATTCTTTCAGGCCATTTGTACTTAAAGGCACATTCACAGATTGAATTTGGGAGCTATCACGCCCGAAATGGAAAGTAGATGTGGTGCTTTGGGACGTCTTAATAAAAAATAGCAAACAAAGCTGCTAACGGATTCTAAATTCACATTTTGTTGATCCTATGGCCGGTGTCAGACTTCGCGAGATCAGCAATAACAATCGCTAGATTTCGCAAGGTCTTGACCCAGCTAACATTGGCGGTCCCAGCCCGATCAACTGAAGGCTGTTTCTTCGTTGGCCGCCCAGTTCCTTTTCGTGTTTCCTTATCAAGGAAAAAGGTCAATCAATTTAGGAGGGTGCTACTGGCTCGGCTGGTACCGCTCATAAGATCAATGCAATTTGAAGGTGAGAGTTCTGAGAGTTCTGTTTGCTCTTTAGGACAGGTAATCAACCCTAAGTATCACATCTGCTTCAATTTTCGCACGCGATAACCTCCACCGTTTCAGTGGTGGAATGTGCCATGAAGGGAACGTGCAAGGAGCCTTGCTGACAAGACTTGAGAAAAGGAAAGTGTGGAGTCTCACTGTCAGTGGTGTTGGTGCCGTTGGTGGTGTTGATAGATTCACAGATAATTCCACTGCCAACATATCCCGAATTGCATGTGCATTCAAACGATCCGGGTAAATTGTGACAGGTAGCATGCGGATCACAAATACCGTCCAGAGTGCATTCGTCGATATCTGGACACAAAACATGGACACGTGCAAACACTGGGAGACATTCAGATATATAAACCGTCAGGGATCTAAATTCGAGAGCGCTCAACTCAAGCAACAACCCTGTATGAGGTCGTGTCAAAGAATCTGTTATGTGGGCGAGATAGAGGAGCCGTTTTCGCGGCTTAAAGTACGCGATAATAGCGCTGGGTGATCTGGTGGCGACTAATGCGAACTTTTGGACGAGATACCTCGCGCTCGCCCTCACGCAACGTGGATTACGACGTAGGGATAAGATAGCCGATAGGTAGATACATATATGGTAGCCTCATCGCATTGATGCGGTTGCGTTCAAAAAACTCGTCTAGACACCTACTTTCCACGCCATCATTATCAATCGCTCTTACCCCACCAAATTGAACAGGGTTGTTGCTTTCAGTAGAAAGTCGGCCGTGCAAGTTGTGCACGAAATGAGAGCGTTCTTATTAGGTTCTCCCTTCAAAACTAGAAATGAACTCGATCAGGCGCTTCGATAAGATTCTTCTCCAAAAGTTTGTTTTTCAAAATTCCCCAATTTTCCACCCAGAGAACGACATTGAGAAGGTTATCTCAGAAGCTATGCTTTTTCACGAATCTGCTACTGCTCCCCAAGAGTAAGCTACACAGATCCGCTTTCTGATCGAGAACATTCCTAGGCCTCACAGCAGAACCTGATGACCTATAGGTCAGGAGGCGAGGTGCGGTCCCGCGCGCGCGGCGATGCGAACCCATCAGAGCACGCGCCACGCGCGCGGCAGAACCTGTCGCGTCCAGACCTGCGCTGGAACTCAACCATAAGAAAGGAATCACTTGAGCTTCTTCTGGAAGATGTAGAAGGCGTGAGCCCACAGGAAGAAAACGTGCAAACATGCAACTTTGAGAACACTTCATACTTACCATCACATCGCATGCCGTCGCCAATATAGCCGACCTTACATGTGCAGAAGTGACGTCCTGGACGGACATCGATACATTCGGCGTT